AGAGAGAGAGAGAGAGAGAAAGAGAGACAGAGAGAGAGAGAAAGAGAGAGAGAGAGAGAGAGAGACAGAGAGAGACAGAGAGAGAGCCAGAGAGAGCGACGGGGGGTGGGGGAATAAAGAGAGGGAGACGGTCAAAGCAAGACAGAAAGAGATAGAGAGCGAAAGTGATTGAGACAGAGTAGGAGTGAGAGATATATAGAGAGTGAAAGAAAGATAGGGAGAGAATGCACGTCTGTGTGTGTGTGTGTGCAGGGGCGAAGGCTGACTTGTTTGATAGGGTAATCAAAGTGAAACGGGACCAGATAGGGCCTGGAAATATCACACAAGAATCTTTCTCGAGGCAGCGAGTTGTGAATGAAAACAAATCCTAAATTCATATTTGTATGTTCAACCGCCAAAATAATCGGGAAAGTATCTGATTAAATATCAGTTCCAACTAAAATTAAATTTAACTTTAGATGTGAATACACAAACATAACGCAAAGAAGCAGAGATGTCAGTATTAGATCTATATGTTATACAACTGGACCAGTGAGTCTAAACTCGTTTGTAGAATATGACAATTATCATTTTTAAATTTCACATTTGGCTGTTTTTGTCTAGCTTTTCGCGGCCAGGAGCCGCTGTCAAAATCGAGGTCACGATCTGATTATAGGACGTTAAAAAGTCGAGGAAAAAAACAAGCACTTGCAACAGTCAAGAGATTATTAGGATTTAGTTCCCCTCACATTTGTGAGTTAGACTCGACCAGTGTAGTAGTTAGCTTACATAATCAGTGCTTGTGACTGATTATAACTGTGGCCCGGAAGGGGTGAACTGGGTTTATGTGGTAATGAAACAGTTTTGACTGTGATGCACATGTTCCCTTCAACTCAATTGGTAGACTCTTCCAGCCTCATTTTAAGCTTACTTAATTAAAGCTTGTGACTGCTTATGAAGTGGCCCAAAAGGGGTGAACGGGCTATTTCTGTGGCAGTGAAACAGTTTTTGAATGGTATGCATACTGTTCATTGTAGATTATGAACGCCTTTTTACATTTAATTATGAGTTTTGCGTTTATGACTGAATTTGACTGCAACAAGGTTTCAAAATTAGGAAGGGAAGCAGTGGTTATTTAATTATATAGACGCTTCGCCACTCTGTGTGTGTGTG